ACTTGAAAACAGGGGTCGATCAACACTTCACGCGACAATATTTTGCATCCTAGTCACAATCGAAAGTCATTTTGTCGAGACTTTCACGCTGATGTAGCCTAAAACACTTTGCACAACCAATTTCGTCCACCGCGTCGACCGTGACAAACCAGCCGCCATGTTTTTAATCCAGGATTAAGAAACAACCAGAAGCAAAGCGCCCAATGTTGAGCGCTTAAGTTAAGCGTAGTTTAGTGCTAGGTTTAGCGATAAGCGAGTTTGGTGCAACCGAACGAAACCGAAACTAAGCTTAAGTTCCCGGCTAAGCTCCGCTTTGCGCTAAGCGACGTTGGTGCAACCGGCCCTTAATCCTGGATTAAAAACATGGCGGCTGGTTTGTCACGGTCGACGCGGTGGACGAAATTGGTTGTGCAAAGTGTTTTAGGCTACATCAGCGTGAAAGTCTCGACAAAATGACTTTCGATTGTGACAAGGATGCAAAATATTGTCGTGTGAAGTGTTTATCGACCCCTGTTTTCAAGTTGGCTCTCCACTTTCAGGGCGTGCTAGCCCTAACCGAGAAACGTACGGAGCTGTGGGGCTCACGTCTGTATTCCCGTTGGTTCTTCTGTCAACGAGCTTATTCGTATGTACTTACTTATTTTTGCATAGCTGTAACGTATTGTTATTTACCACCTTGTTTATTTACACTTGCAGCGCGTATCCTTCAATCTGATCAGCGCGTTGAATAGTGGCAGTACATGATCTCGGCGATCAGCTGATTGTCGACACCTCTGCCGTTTGCATTAGATTGCGGCGCTTTTAAGTAATAAAACAGCGAAAATTCAATTTCTTTCGTTTTCTGAGTTTTGAGACGATCTTCAGTGAATTTTCCTTATCTCGCGAGTAGAATCTTGGCTTCAGAAAACTGTATCGTTCCATAACTGTAACTTTTTTGGTGATCGCATTTTTTTTTTGAGTAAAGCTATACGCACTCCGGAGTGCGCTTCGGACGGAAATGGCTATACGCACTCCGCTTTTCTCGTATAAAAAGAGTGGACACAACGAGTTTCCCAAGCGGTTCCACGGCGTAGTGGTTAGGGTATCCGCTTCATACGCAAGTGGACGCGGGTTCGATCCGCGGTGGGCCTACTTCTGTTTTTCTTTTTTTTTTTTTTTCTCAAACATTTTGTTTTGTTGAGGCATTTGGCGATATTTACGACATTTCCTTTTTTGCAATGAACAGTAAAAAAAAAAAAAAATCGAATGTTGTCGAGAAACTTTGCAGAACTAAATGGTATCGGACTCCCTTTCCGGAGGTGCGATCGGGGACAGCGGGGCGGCTTGGATTGCCGGCTGGACGCCGCGAAGCGGCGTGTACTGGTTACGCTTAGTAATTAGCAGCCGATACTGTCGCCGCGAAGCGGCGTGAACGCAGGCGGGGGGCTGTGTTAACGAGCGCCCCAGTGATTCACGCGCCGTTCGAAAAGGGTGGCCCGAGCGGCATGATCTCTCGGAGGAGTGCGTATAGCCATTTCAGCGCGAAGCGCACTCCGGAGTGCGTATAGCTTTACTCTTTTTTTTTATATACTTTGCTTCATATCTTTCATTCGTTTCCCGAGAACGAGATACTGTTGTTTCCGAGTTGTGCTCTGTAATGGTGTTTTCCCTTTACTTTTGTCGTTTGTTGTCATTGTGACGATGGTTGAGACTATATACCGGAACACGTTTTCAATAAAATTCAGTTGAAAGTTGCGCCTTGTTGTGTCCTCCGTAACTTTTTTGGTGATCGCGATTTTTTAGGAATATTTTGCTTTATACCTTTCATTCGTGGTGACGACAAATCGTAACGACTACTATGTTAGATTCGTTCATTGCTGTATCGGGGCAGGCTGGGGCAGGTGATGCGAAGAGACGACCGTTCTTATCGGCACGATGTGATGTACTAGTGGGAGTTTTTTTTTTTTTTTTCTGAACTCGACAGTGTGAAACTGAAGTCCGTTTGAGGCTGCAGCGGATGTTCAACGACGGTACAGTGCAGTTCTGTCACCTTGCTGATAGCAACGAGTACCGTCGATGCAAGGACTCTTGACCTGACCTCTCGACGACTTCTATTCGAAGATTTCCGGGCATTTTCGCAGCTGCCGTGGCGAGTTCGTCACTGTTTTGAACTTCATCGGTCTCAGGCTTGACTTAGTTTTAGTAGTCATCTTACCTGCCTACTTATATCCATGATGTTTTGTCTTCAGCGATGTAGCGAGTAGAGTGTCCTTCTCGCGTTCGGTGAGATTTGGGGCCCCCGATGGCTCCTTCACCTCAAAATGTGAGCACGGAAACTACTACCACTGTCAAAATATCCTGTTATCAACCGATATTAAACACACAATCAAAGATGTAAAGAGCATTCGTGTTTATTTGAAGCTTTGACTTCTGTTATTAAAAGTTAAACGAAAAAATGATTGAATTTGGAGGCCTTTAATTTGTTACTCAACGAAGAAATACAGCGAAAAGCAGACGCCGACGACGACTACTACGGCAGTTTTTCTTTTTTTTTTTTTGTTTACATCACGTGATTCCTCTCCGCCAATCGTATTCGTCGCTCTTAGCGTTCCCTAGTTTGCTCTGTTTGTCCCTAGATTCCCTACGCAAATCCAGCGTTTAGCTAGGGGCGCGTCTGTAAAGCCGGCTTAACGTTGGTGCAACCGGAATTTAAACCCGTGCTTACCTAAGCTCGGTTTAGGGCGCTAAGCCGGCTTAGGGCCGGTTGCACCAACGTCGCTTAGCGCAAAGCGGAGCTTAGCCGGGAACTTAAGCTTAGTTTCGGTTTCGTTCGGTTGCACCAAACTCGCTTATCGCTAAACCTAGCACTAAACTACGCTTAACTTAAGCGCTCAACATTGGGCGCTTTGCTTCTGGTTGTTTCTTAATCCTGGATTAAAAACATGGCGGCTGGTTTGTCACGGTCGACGCGGTGGGCGAAATTGGTTGTGCAAAGTGTTTTAGGCTACATCAGCGTGAAAGTCTCGACAAAATGACTTTCGATTGTGACAAGGATGCAAAATATTGTCGCGTGAAGTGTTGATCGACCCCTGTTTTCAAGTTGGCTCTCCACTTTCAGGGCGTGTTAGCCCTAACCGAGAAACGTACGGAGCTGTGGGGCTCACGTCTGTCTTCCCGTTGGTTCTTCTGTCAACGAGCTTATTCGTATGTACTTACTAATTTTCGCATAGCTGTAACGTATTGTTATTTACCACCTTGTTTATTTACACTTGCAGCGCGTATCCTTCAATCTGATCAGCGCGTTGAATAGTGGCAGTACATGATCTCGGCGATCAGCTGATTGTCGACACCTCTGCCGTTTGCATTAGATTGCGGCGCTTTTAAGTACCCTGCTGGAAATGGGCGATGTGAAATGAGGCCAAAATTCACATTGAACCAATGTGCAACTGTAGGTCCAGACACATTGAGCAATATGCATTTATGAAACAAAAACCTATGTGCACCAATTGGTAATCCTTTAGGGAATTCACATTGGGCTGAATTGGTAATCCTTTAGGGAATCCACATTGGGCTGATTGCATTTATGAAACAAAAACCAATGAGCAGCAATTGGCAGCAGGTACCCCAGTGCACACTGCATTGAGGGAATTTATGGGGCAAAAACCAATGAGCAGCAATTGGCAACAGGTGCTCCTGTGCACATTGGGTTGATGGTATTTATGGGGCAAAAACTAATGAGCGGCTATTGGCAACAGGCCCCCCTGCGCACATTGGATTGATGGTATTTATGGGGCGAAAACCAATAAGCGGCAATTGACGACAGGCACCCCTGTGCACATTGGGTTGATGGCGTTTAGGGGGCGAAAACCAATGAGCGGTAATCGACAACAGGTGCCCCGGTGCACATTGGTTTGATGGTACTCAGTCAACCAGCAACCATCTATTAAACATCCGAGAGATGTGTTGTTCGGACATTTAACATATCCAGTGGATATCTGCTACGATTCATCCAACATTGAAAGTATCTACTGTGCAGTGCAAAATGGTTCCCCAGAAAACGTACCACTAACGCAATCTGGTTGATGCAGCTGGACATTCAGGACCATTGTAGGATGTTCAGCCTGATCCTGTGGATGTACCATGTACATACCTCAGAAATATTACCTTTCCTGGTATAGGGACCAGCCCTATGCCAGGAGGGCAAGGAAGTGCCTAAGCAGCCTTCATTTTATGCTAGCATATAGCGTGTAAACTGTCCTACAGAAAAATTTAAACGGATAGGAGTCCAATTCTTTACAAAACAAGAGCTCAGAGGGCAGATTTGCTGTATGGCCCGTGCATGCTCTCAATGTATACCCAAATGGCGCATTACAGATGTATAATCTAGCAATCAGGCCCGCAGCAGACATTCTTTATATTGAAGTTTTTTTTTCACCATCAAGCTCAGAAGCTTTACCACAGGATCAATGCAGACGACACTGACAAGGAAGGCGACATTACTGATGCTGACTCGTTTTAGTGAGGTGGACCTCGCCACATGCGAGAGAACTGAAATACTGGACACAAACATTGTCATAAGCTATGACGAACGGCCTTGTGGAATTGACTACTGAAGTCTAAGGCTCCAGTAGTCATATGCTCTAGTGACGAGGACACCAGAATTCCATGAGAGCTGTAGCACCGACTGCATGGCAAAAGATGCCGCTGCAGTCTTGCAGCGTAACTTTGAACGTGAGTAGCGCACTAAATTCCTGCCCAGCCTGTCAGGCATGCACATCCGTTCTGTAGAAAAAGTTGCAGTGCCAAACAAATCGCCATTAACTCTTTATTGTTACTGTTAGACAGACGAGCAGTGCTTGATGCTTTTAAAATAAAGTATAAATTTTGAACAATGCTGCATAGACAGCATGAGGTTTTCAAAATAAAGTTTACTTACTGAACAAAGCAGGATACTTTGCTTAAAAAAAAAATGTTTGATAAACATAATAAAAAGCTCAGCGCATTCAAGGCCCACTTAAGGCAGTTCACATCTCTCTCTCTCCTGTGGTGCAGAATGGTCCTGAAAAGCAACAAAAAAATGTTACGTTAAAGATATGTGAGCAGTGGTTTACCATTCTTTGAAACAAAACTAATAAAACAGTGAAGTTCAAAGTGAAGTGACTCAAATATGCAAGAATTGGAACTGATGTAAATAAATCACAAGTATTTTATGCCTTGTTTTTAAAGCACATTCATGCTGGACGTGTGTACTCTATTGCCAACTTTTGTTTGTTAGATTTACATCAAATATCAGTGTTCTTAAAATTCGTTGTCTATGCATTCTTTTTAATCCATAATAAGGTACTATTACATAATGAAATTTTTCCTCTTAGAGAAACACTCCAAACAAAATTTTTTTTTTATTTAAAATTATTCAATACTGTTTACACCTGTAGTATTTGCTCTCAAACCAAAAAAGGTGTCACTGGCTTTAATATTTAAAGCATTCAAATACTCTCATATAAAAATTATGCTTTGAAGAAATTGCACACCATACCTACTGTTCTAGAAAAGTTTGATTTTTGTGCTAACATCCGCTTAATAAGAGCAGCTTACCATTTGAGATGACTGATGTCAGGCAGGTGCGTGGCGAAGTTAATCCGTGACCATGGTTTCTACCTTGAAGTCTTCACATTTATGGCAGCTCTGCATTGCATCTGATAAAAGAAAGCAACAGAAGCATGACACCAACAATTCCATAAATCTGGTTCCATGTGAAGCGATCTGCACTACTGTTCCAGAGATTACTTACTTATGATGCACTCAGCAAGGTGAAGGTTCCTGAATGTCAACTTTCTCTTACGTCCTTCCCACAAAAATTTTCGCCCCAACTGGTCAGTCAGTCCAACCGCTTCGTCATCTGTCTCGTACAGGAACATAACCAGATCCGCAGACTTTGCTGAGCTGTCGAACATAAAAAAACATCCACATAGCAACCGCTTAGTGCAATCATAACTATTGATTGGATGTTTCTGTTTATTTTTAGTCAACCTTGGCAGGTGTTTATCGGCATCCATTTTTTCATTAAATGTGCTGCAAAAATATTCCAAAAGCCGGGAATCATAATGATAAAAAAAACTGCACCAACTTTACTCAACAAGATTAACAATTTAATCAAACGTTTCGTCTCCCATGTGGGAAACATCGTCGGTGAAACCTTGAAGCAGGAATGAGCGAAAGAAACTTCAACAGCCCTATTTAAACAAGTCCGCATACACATTGAGGAGGGGGCCGCAGCTGGAGTTACAAGCTGATGGGTCATTTCGGATGGACCATGATTCTACGAACCTGCTTGGACCCCACCTTTGTTCACGCGCCAGACTGGACGCATTCTCAAAGTCGAAACTGTGTCCCGTATTCCAACAATGGTCTACGAGTTCCGTCTTCGCTCTTGTCGCATGCGTGGCCTTTGCCATGTCCCTTTTGTGACTTTCATTTAGCTTTAAACAGCATTGAATCATCAATCCAATTTACACATGAAGTTGAACAGAACGGTGCAATGCCTTTTCTGTATGTTAATGTGTTCCGAAATAGTACCGGTCACTTTTATACAACAGTGTACCGCAAAGCTGTGATACAGGCAACCTCTTAAGCTTTAACTCGCATCATTCTGTCGAACATAAAAGGGCTGTCGTAAAAAACCTACTACACCGGTCCGAATGCATTTCTTCTAATCCTCAATTGCGCACTTCTGAGAAAAAAGTCAAATTTGGGGGATTTACGTGCTAAACCAACGACGGGCATCTGGCACGCCCCAGCGGAGGACTGAAGATTAATTTAGACTACCTGGGGATATTTCGACGTGCAACCGAAAGCTCGGTTACACGGCGCCTGCTCCGCAATAAGCCTCTGCCACATGGGGATCCGTAGGCCAGCGCTCTCGCCTCGGAGCCACCGAGGCGGCTTGCGCGCTTCTGAGGATGCTGTTATTGTTGACCTGCTGATGAAGCGGAATTATCCGAAACGTTTTATTGATAACACGCACAAACAGATGGGACAAAGAAGTCAGGATAATGGACAACTTAGGACAGGGCAAGCAACAATACCCTATTTGAGAGGTGCTTTTGAGTCCATTCGCAGGGCCCTCGCCCCTTTGAATATCCGCACAGCTTTCAAACCCCACCATAAACTATGTGACTTCATTTCTAAACCTAAAGATTACACCCCCCCAGAGTCCCAGTGCGGTGTTGTGTATAAAGTGAACTGTCTAGACTGTGACACATCCTACATTGGGGAGACAGGCTGGAAGCGCTGCACTCGCCTAAACAAACACAGCGAAGACGGAACTCGTAGACCATTGTTGGAATACGGGTCACAGTTTAGACTTTGAGAATGCGTCCACTCTGGCGTGTGAACAAAGGTGGGGTCCACGAAGGTTGGTGGAATCATGGTTTATCTGAAGTGACTCATCAGCTTGCAACTCCAACTGCGGCCCCCTCCCCCGATGTTTATGCGGACTTGCTTAAATAAGATTGTTGAAGTTTTTTCGCTCATTCCTGCTTGAAGGTTTCAGTGATGATGTTCCCCGCATGGGAGACGAAACGCTTGATTAAATTGTTAATCTTGTTGAGTAAAGTCGGCGCAGTTTTTTTATCATTAAATTTGCTACTAATATTTATATTTGCTCTTATTGAGGCACTTCCGACATTTAAACTGAGGAATTTTGACGTCTTTATCTCAATATGGCGATTGGATTAAAGATTATACCACTGGGCACGGGCTTGGACTTACCCGAAAGCCCAGGCCTGGGATGGGCTCGGACTTTTGACTGTGGGCCCGGGCCGGGCTCGGGCCAGCACGTTGATTGGCCTGGTTCGGGCTCGGGCCAGCTGTAATTGACCATGATGCTGACAGAGACCATCGTAGAAATCGGCGTCTCGGTTATCTCAGCAACATCAACTCCAGAACCACTAGACAAGTACCCATGAACGTAGGCCCACCTTAAAGACCGACGACCAGTTCGCGCTTTCCACTTTTCGCCCGCTTCCTCCTCTCCCTCCTACCCTTTCCATCCACGCCCGCCCCTCTTGGTCCCTTCTTTCCATCCTTCGCTTCCCTCGCCCGAAGGCGTGGAGAGGAGGGTCTTCTGCCTTGCAGAATCTCGAGTCTGGTCGTCGGCCTTTAAGACAGTGGACGGCAGCGTCGTTAATCATGAGGTGAGCTTCAGGTTAATCCCAGTGGCGTGATGTTTTTGCTTGTGGTGATAAATAGCGGCAAACCAAAAATAAACGGACATTGAAGCGCTTTGTCAGGAATTAAAAATGGGGGACTCAAAAACATTTAGCTAAACAATCTCAACCTAATTGATCATGAGAAACACTTATCGCTCTCGAATAATAGCTGGGAAGCGCTAACATAGCGGCAATGATGTAGTGGGGAAGCTTACAGGCCTAGTAAACAATTATACACGTACTGGGGAATGCCTGGCACATATTCAGGTATGAATACATGCTCAGATCTACAACATATTTTAGAAGATACAAACTGCAAATTAGTAGTCTTTCTAAGAAAACACATTGACGTATCTTAATCACATTGCTAAAACCCACAAAAACACTTAATTACAATTATTTTAATAAAAAAAAGTTCTGAATATGTACATGACACCAGCAGTCATAACTTTGATTTAGTTCATCGCAAGCTATATTTCTCTGGAAGCAAACGAAGACAAACCTTTTAACTGTGCAGTGAACCAGAATTAATGCAATACGACGAAGTTTCCGTATACCACTTTAAAATAACCACAAACAACGCTTTTCAGATCAGTATGTTTTGCTATAAAAGGCTTATTATAAAGCCATAGTCCTTACAGTATATTATAAAGCTTTTAGTCTTGCTGCATCCAGTTGTGGCTTTGCTTAGCCTTTGTGCGGTTTGAAGGTCTGCCGGTTACAATTCGCCAAGGAGGCCATCTGTGGCGGAGATAATTACCAAACCTTACCGGATGAACATTGATTCCCTTTTCTATTTGAGAACTTTCGTGTGTGAAGTCTTGTTGAGCCAGATGCCATTGCCAATGCACACATAGAAGACATAAACTTCAGTTCATCTTTGAAGCAGCACTATGTACAGGAAATTTACCAGCGCAATATTCGTGACTCCAGCGAAATCGACACCGCGTAGCGGCAGCGCCGAGAAGCTCAGGAGAGGAGGTTGTCCCGACTCTGTCGTCTGCTATCGCTGCTTGGTTCTCGTAGGCAGCATAGAAACAAACATTGTTTCCAGTAATTATTTTAATGATTCCACCGGGTCCATCCTACGCACTGAGTAGACAAACGTTTCTAGGGTTGAAAAATCGCTTTGCATTCAAATGTAACACTGATTTTACGCTGCAGTGCAGGAATTTGTGATGGTCCGCATGCTGAACAACGAAAACGACCTTCTTTTGTCCGAATTTTGCCTGAGCAGCGCGCCATCTATAGTTCGCTGGAGTCGCGAATAACCTGGACTGGGATTGAAAACAGGGGTCCTATTTGTCAACGGCATGCCTCAAAATTAATTTTGTTGATGAAAAAAAAAATTGTAGCAATATTTACGCGGCAAAACGCAATTCGAGTTTGGCACAAAACCGAACCGGTGTAACTAGCAGGTATCCTTCTTACCTCATTACTGTCAGAGTTAACAATTTGAATGATTCGACGTGATCCCTCACCCTCCTCCTCTTCTTCTTCATCTCCTCTCTCTCCCCCAACGAACTAACAAACAAACGAACACGCACGCACGCACGCACATACCTCTTCTCCAAATAGACACAGACTGCGCCACGCCTTGACAGATATAATTCATTCTAACCTTAAGCCTATCAGCACAGAAAAAATGTTAAAACACATAACCTTTACCTAGTTTCTGGGCATATGAGAACAAACACACGGCACCCCTATCAATGAAATTCCTTGTACTTGTGGCGGCATAACTAAAGAAAATCTCAAATTTAAAATACGTCTTATGAATTGCTTCGCAAGCGCGAAAATGAAATTACAATTACCTGTCTCATACAAGCTTCCTCCAGCCCTCCCGGGCAGTCACTCATCTCGTCGGTGGTACTCACTAGCACCCGCCCTAGTAGCACCGAATGTTGCCACAATGTTACTGGAATGTGGTCCGCCAACGTTGTGTATACGTGGCTAATGTCCGCGAAATGTCATGTTGCTTGAACGTTATCTGAAAACATTCCCGTAACATCGTAGTAAACATTTGTGCTATGTTATGCCCTCAACATTTGTGCTATGTTATGCCCTCAACATTTGTGGTATGTTATGCCCTCAACATTAGTGGAACATAATTTATTAACATTGTTTATATATTTCCAATGACCACACAGCAAACATTTGTGGTATGTTTTGTCCTCAACATCCGTGTAACATTAACTTGGTGTCTCAAGTAGCAGCCAGGCTCTTTAAATCAACCGCGAAATTTGGTTTCTTAACCTATTGCGCTAGGAGATTTTGCAGCGTTGCCCACTGGCGGTGCATTTTTTTATTATAAAAATTGCAAAGAGCGAACTTACCTGAGGAAAAAGTAAAGAAAGAAAAAGGGTTAACTCCTTTGGAAATTCAGCGAAGGCACCAGTCTTCAAACAATAGGGCGCCCTATTTTTGAAGACCGTTGGCTTCGCTGCATTTCCATAGCAGTTAAGCCTTTTTCTTTCTTTATTTTTTCCTCAGTTAGTTCGCTCTTTGCAATTCTTATAGAAAAAAATACACCACCTGTGGGCAACGGTGCACAAAATCCTAGCGCGACAGGTTAAGAAACCGAATTTACTGGCCACTATTTGAGACACCCAATATATTGCCAATTGACCACTAATTTTCTACATGAGCTACATTATAAAAAAATCAATTTACCCACAACAAGGACAGCTAAAAACGGACAAGCACATATACATAGCCGCAGTGTGCTAGCTTCGTTTCTATCTTTCCTCGTCTCGGGCAAATTAGTCGCAGACTAGCTCTCTCAGCGATTTCACCCCACCTTCGC